ACATCGCTGCTCATGGAAAGTCATAGTGATTCTAGACAAGCACTTATCAGAGCATGAGCTAATATTCGAATTCAGATAGAGTCGAACCTCAACTGACAATTGAATTCATGTCGTTGAAAGCCTTAGGTTCGAATGTATCGCTTTTATCCCGCTGCACTTGACAAAATATTCGAGTAAAAGCGTGAGCAAACGAAATGAAAACTCCATTGAGCGATTACATTAACGGAGCCATACCTTACAAGCAAATAGTTTGTGAATTTTTGCTAATTCATTTAAAAAAATAGTTGAACTTTTATGATAAAAAATTGAAATTTCACGAGAAGATTTCTTAATTGTTTGGTTTTGCAGTTATTCGCTGACTTCTTCCGTCGATTTCAAGCGTCTCTTCAGAACAGTTTCATTATTCTGATTGGCGATCACGGACTTCGTTATGGTGCTCAAAAAGATGAAGACGTTGGGAAATTTGAAGATTACAACCCAATGCTCATGGTCGGTCGAATCTATTGTGTATCATCCACTACACTAATTCATGTTTTCATTAGAATTATGCACATTTGCTAACGCCGTTTCAATCCGTCAACGTGAATACAGTATTTTATTAACTTCAGATATCAGTTCCGAAGTTCCTACGTCAGAATGATCAGCTAATGAAAAACATGCGCAAAAACGCTCGTCGACACACGTCTAATTTCGATGTTTATGCAACACTCGTGGATATTGCAAAAATCGGCAAACAGAATGCATATCAGAATTGGGATTACCATGATTTCAGGTCAGTTGTGAACATCGATCCATTTTAACAATCGAATTTTCAAAATGTTTGCAATCAAGTCCAGATTCGAGTTAAGGTGAAGGGAAAAGAGGAAATTCCAGGATGGATTTTGGTGATGTGCGAGGAGGACGTGCGATGAGCTTATTTAGACCAATTGCATACGATAGGTAATTATTTTATAACGCTTCAAGTAGGTTGACTCATGATTTTGTTTCATTCGTTATACTGCTCTCTCGCCTCTTCACAAGTGTCTCAACTTCCACTGACATTAAGTGAACTATTGGCACAATTGAATTGAATTGCTCGTTGAAAGTTATAGGCGTGAATGCTTTTTAGAAATGTTGAATGGTGTTTGAGAAACTTATCGTGATGTTTGAAGATCATGTGAAGAGATGGAAGTGGATGAATGGTACTGTTTATGTTATACGTGGAAAGATGTCAAGTTGGACAGCGATCGTGTTCAACGAGCCGGTCGAACTGTTATCGACACTGTGAATCGCTTCCTCGAATCAGAAAATATTTCAAGTATTTGTGCGAAACTCGAATTTACAAAGGTGATTCATTGTCGGCTGCAAATTATGATTTCTTGTGAACATTTTTCGCAGCACTGCAATATTTCATCGTCTATCTATTTTAGACTCTAAATGACACACTTCTTTTCGTTAGAGTCCCAGCTATCTTCGACATTCCAGGTACTTTCGGCTAAATCGCATGTAAGAAAGGATATTTTGATTGTTGCTTCAGAAGCATCTCCATCGAATGGTCAGTATGAAGCGCTCGTTAAATTCGAAAATGATCAGCTAATCGTCGTTTCAGAGGTTTCCAACTCCATTTTTGCCAACTCCTTCAAATTTCACAGCAATATTCGATTCTTACTCCAGTTGAGCAACAAAAAAGCAACTTTTTATTTTTGTTCAATTCCTTGTGATCTCCAGCTGTTTTCGTTAAAATCACATTATAGATAATTGTATGCGAGATCACTGAAGTCCATGCACTCTTAAATTATCTATATAAATTGCAAGAATGATCGATGAAAATTTCATTCGTTGTTGATGAATGAAATGATGCTTTCAGATAACGCGCAACGATGAGTACGGCAATCAAGGTGACTGCGCTTTGAAACCAACTACAAGACCGTTGTGCTACTGTTTATATAGCACTTCTACTACTACCACTTCTGCTACTACTACTTCTACTACTACTACTACTACTGCTGATATTACTGCCGATGGCACCAACTAATATACTAGCTCCCCTTTTCCTACCAATGATATTCCTTTTTAGCACCAGTACCTCATTCCCTACCCCTATTCCTACAACCGTTACCCCCTTTTCTGAAAAATACACCTCTTACCCTATCACAACACTAGCATCGTTCTAAATATTCTCATTAATGATATTTCTGCCACGAATCTGTCTCAATCAACCGAAATTCCATTGAACTTGTCAACTGAACAGTGGATGCAGTTACAAATTCTAACTGTTGACATTAATGATCGCATTTTGAACGAAGATTGTACAGTTCAACGTTGCGAATAAACTTATTATTGCACACTTGAAAATATCCTCAATACTTCGTTCCTTTAACCGTTTGCAAGGATCCA